CCCCCGTCTCCTCGGCCCCTCAGCCGCCCTCTTTAACTGTCACTCTCTATAATCATCTGGGTACATAATCTGCAGCATTTTTTTCTACAGGCTTCATTAAAATTGAAACACAATTTGTAGTGACAGAGCAATGACTGGGGAATAATCATCAGTTCAGAAAAAGAATGATGAAAGGTGCTCTGCTGAGGACGTGATCGCACAAAACTCAGTAAGGCATTAAATGAGAAGACTTTTTCAATGCAGCAAAACACAAAGATTTCCGAATCCATTTAGAGACAAAAAACAACCTAAAAGTTAAAAAAAAAAAAAAACTCAAAATTTAATCAACATAAAATGGTACCGCACTCCTTTTAACCCATGTAATGTGACATACACCACCATTCAAAAGTTTTTTTTTAAGGAAATTAATCCTTTGATTTAAACGAAGATGCATTAAATTGATCAAAAGTGACAGTATAGACATTTATAATGTTACAAAAGATTTCCATTTCAAATAAATGCTGTTTTATCCCCCTGTTTTCTACATTGAAAATAATAATTAATATTTTTTGAGCACCAAATCAGCATATTAGAATGATTTCTGAAGGATAATATGACACTGAAAACTGGAGTAACGGCATCACAGGAATAAATTACATTTTAAAATAACTTCTCTATTTTAATTTGAAATAATATTCCACAATATTACTGTTTTTACCGAATTCTTGATCAAATAAACACAACTGTGGTGACATTTCTTTCAAAAACGAACAAAAAAAAAAATTCTTACTGACCTCAGACTTTAGAACAGAAGTGTGTATTCAAGTGAAATAAGATATTCAACAGAGAAAACTTGATTTTGATCCTATGGGAATTGATGACATTGTGAAGTCATCCATACCTTACCACTCCATACAAAAAGTTTCTTTGGAATGACATTTTGAACAAATTCAGAAAGTAAATAGGGTCAATTTTGATGTCACGTTACTTAAAAGGTGAAGAGTGTAATTTCTGGGCCAAGTAAAGTGAACTTTTTTCAATTTTTTCCACTTTTTGCTCTGTTGAGCAATGTTTTGAAAGTGGCACAGAGTGGCAAAATCAAACTTTAAATGGCTTAAACAATTGACTTAAACACTGCACATTTTACTCAAAATATATTATGAGAAATAAATCTCAATGATTCTTACCTGATTCTTTGAGAAAAGTGCATTTCTGGTAAACAGATGAGCGCAAGCTTGGTGCGCGGACATTGTAAAGACGGGCCTTCTCAATGCGTCCGTCAAACACTCGCAGGAGGGGTTCTTTCTCCTCCCACTGAGACATGATCTTGTTGTCGATGAAGGTGGCAAACATTTGTGTTTCGATGAAATGCGACAGGAAGGGCAAGTACGGTTCCGGCTGATCAGAAAGGAATGAGGCCTGAATAGAAATCAAATGAAAGAACTCAGAAATGGATGTACCTTCTGAAACTTTTGATGAAAACTTTGGTACAAGACCAATAATAAAAAAAAGAATCTGATTTGTTTTGCTAATATTTTGTGCATTTCTAAGTGTGTAACATATCAGTTACCTTGTCAAAGTTGTGCATTTGCTCTCTATTGGTCAGCCAGGACTCCAAATCTGGAGAGTTCTGAATCACAAACGACTCGTAGTCTGCAAACATTGTCGCAAAGCGTGCAGCAAACACCTCCCTCAGCTGCACGTTCAGTTTAGCGTTCCTCAGCTCCTCTTCCTCAGCAGGAGACCTTCCTCCCACACCCTCCTTCCCTGCTGCCAATGCCTCCAAACGGGCCACTTTCACCCCAGTCCTTTTGGCCAGAGCCTGCAGACGCTCCAGAGTCGGGTTGCCCTGAAGTAGTTCCAGCACGTCCAGCGCCTCTCCACCGAGGTTTCCGTTCCTCCTGTCATCCACTAACTCACTCAGAGATGTGCTCTTCAGCTCCTTCTCCAGTGTGGAGGTCTGCATGCTGACAGCTGGTTCAGGGGAGGTGTTGCCCCCCTCAGGAGACAGACCAAAACTTAGCAATACCTCACTGAGTTCCTGGATGAATTCGGTCTTGTTGGGGAACTGAGGGAATTCTTCAGGCAGCTCGATGCACTGGTTGTCAATGTCAACAAAACACAGGTTCGCCTGAGGAGAGAAAGGCGCCATGCAAATTAACTTTTACGCTTCAAGCCGCACATTTCAATCTGAAAAGTTAAGAGTTCAAGTTGTTTTATTAAATGTCATCAGGCTGATTTTTGTGTAATTATACTTTAACCTGTAGTATAACTCAACAATAACCAATAATGCTGTGACAAAGGAAATTTATGTTTGCGTGTGTGTGTATATGGGTCAATGACAAACAAGAGTGTTTTGAAGTAAAATGTGTGGCCAAACAATGAGTGGCATTGCGTGTATTTTGGTTTTAAAAGCATAAAATTTGTATCTCGGTAAAAAAAATTTAAAAAATGTAATCCAAAATAATAGCCTAGCCAAATAATCGCTTCATTCTGATGTGCCAAACAAAGCACATGTCCAAAACACAAATCCATGCTGGGAAATTACAGTATTCAAACACACGCACTGACCCAGAGCTGCAATAGCATATCATTGGCTGTACTGACCTAATAACCAAACTCAATATCTGGAATTAGAGAAAATAAATCCAGTGTATCATTAGAAATCTCACTGTGTGACACATTGCTGTTCAGTCACATGAAGTGCATGTCATGCAGTGAAAATGCCCTCAAGAGAGAGTGTGTGAGCGTGACCTTGTTGCTGTAAAAATAAATCAGTCAAGCAGAACTGTCCGTTCTGTCAGGCCACAATGCTGACAGCCTGTCAGAAAGAAGCATTTAGGCCAGCATGCATGTGTTTGACCTAGCTAAATAAAAATGAAATATTTTGTTTTTATAAATGTCTTCCATCTCATATGAGTATATATAATTTTGAAATGTGTGTCAGAGTTCTTTATATGTAGTTTTTTTAATGTCTACTTTTGCACTGCTTCAAAAACGTGAGGGTGCGCATACAGGTTTGTGCACATGTACGTTTGTTTGTGCTATACTGCATCATACACGCATCCAACACTGTTCCCGGTCAGAAGAATCCTGATCTGAAATGGGCAAAGACAATGGACAAGAGCTGAAGCATAATAATTTAACTAAAATGAAACTGAAAAATATAATGGTTTTCACAAATATATTAAGAAGCACAACTCTTTTCAACATTGATAACAACAAATGTTTCTTGAGCAGCAAATCAGTATATTAGAATGATTTCTGAAGGATCATGTGACACTGAAGACTGGAGTAATGATGCTGAAAATCCAGCTTTGTCCTCACAGGAATAAATAACATTAAAAAATATTTTAAATGTTAGTTTAAATGGTCATAATACAGTATTTATCAATATTACTGTATGTTTGATCAAATAAATGCAGCCTGTGTGAACATATGATACTTTTTCAAAAATATTTTTGAATCTTACGGACCCCAAACTTTTAAACATTAGTTTATATACACAAACAGCAAACAGAAACATAAAAATGAATGCAGTAAAAAGGAAACCCATGCTGCTTTTCCAAAATGAGCCATCTCCTCTCTTGTTCCCCTTCGGTCTCGCTCTCGTTGTCATTAGTCTTTTTTTCTGGGTCAGAGTGACTTCAAAGAGAATGCATAGCAGGGAAACTGAATGTTGAGTTACGGAAAATGGGATTTAGGGATGAGGATGTAGGGTAGCCTTGCAGCATCCAGACGGACAAACCATGAATAAGTAACCTCTGCTAAGAATTCTGATATAGCACGACACAAAGAAACGAAGACTCTGAAGCTAATGATACAAGTCGAACATGGAAGCACTGTATTCCTGTATCCCTCGAAGAAATAAGAGGGAAACAAGGACTGCAAAAGAAGAGCCTCATACTGGTTAGGCTATTTTCAGCAAAGGCCTCTGGTGCTTTTTAAAGGCATTGAGGGTGTTCTTCTCTTATGCAGATCACCCATCGTCACAAACCAATCAGGGTCCAAATTTATAAAGGCTACTTGATGGATGCATCCACATCTCAGGGATTTCTAAGAGGCAGTGATAAAATGCGTGAATGTGCAGGTCTGTGCAGATTACCTCTTGAGGCAGCTCTAGCTTGGAGCGGTCCGTGCCCTCTTTGGACTGCAGGCCCATGAGATACGGCACAGGGGCGTCCAGGAAGTGCAGAAGAGAAGCGGGAAGGATGGGCACATATACATGCTGCCACTGGAACGGGAACAGCAATGTTGTGATTCCCTCCGCAACCACCATGAGCCTCTGGTAATCTAGACGTACACAGACAAAAGAAAAAAATATCAACAACTTCAACTGACAAAATAAATTTATATAAGAAATCATTATACGATGATGTCACGTTTGTTGAAATTAGGCTGTAAAATTCAATTTTTGCAACTAGCAAGTGAATTATTTAAATACAATTTACCTTAAATGTCTTAACATCCATTCAACTGTATTCAGTATTATGGAAAAATAACAGTAAAAAGTAAACAAACAAGTAAATAAATACAATTATAAATAATACATTTTAAAAATATATAATCCTAAATATATAAATCAATCCTAAAATATTTATTTTTAAAGCTACTTTTTGTAATGTCTATTTGAAGCTTTTCTCATGTAACATAATAATGGCTTTTGGGGGTAATTTCTCTGACAAATATGGTGTAATTAATTAAGATTAAATTTAGTATAAATACAGCCCTATAGCCCTAGTATAAATATATTATTTTTTGTCAATATAAAAGTTAATTATCTAGTTTTTTTCCCTACTATACTTGCAAACATAAATGAAACGCATCAGTGAAGATCGTAATTATGAGTTATGTTGAAACCTGTTTTAATGAACCAAAGTCCTTTCAACTTGCATTTGGCACTTGACAATGGTTCAATTTGGATCCTGGGATACAAGTTAAATTAGATGAAAGGCAACTTATCACGTAATACTGTATGGTGGACTTACTAAAACAGGGCAATGTGATTATTAATAGATGTTTCTCATAAAAATCTCATCGTTTGTTTATATGGAGAACAGGCAGAGGAATTCATTAGCATGTGTATCAGCTTGTGTTTGCTGAAAAGCATATGTGCTGCAGCAGGGTAATGTAATATTCATTAAGCTCCTCCACATTCACTCAGTATCCACATCAAAGGCCCGGCAAAGATGCACTTCCCAGCATCAGAACTCAAATTTAAATGCTTAAATAAGAGATGAACTGATCTGCATACAGTCAAGACTTAAGTCATCAGGGGTGCAAATTCATACACAAATAGCCTGTAAGCTTGATATAAAAGTAGGGATTGTCAATCGGTTAATATATTTAAAACTGTATTTCATTAATTAAACCACAAAATTGTGGCATTAAGACATTTAATTTTTAGATAATAAGACATTACAAGTCCAAAAAGTCTATATATTATTTGGAAACACTACATTAATGTAATAAATAAATAAATATTTATTTCTAAACATATTTTGTATTTATTTTAATATTTGTAACAAATAATAAAATAAAACAAAACCGAATAAAAAAAACAAAAGCAAAACAAACAAAAACGAAAGCGAACACACCCAAGCGAAACCAAATGAATAACAAAACAAACGAAATCAAACAAAACAAAACAAAGCCAAGCAAACAGACAAAACCAAAGGAAAGCAAACAAAACAAAACGTGACCAAACAAGTATGAACAAAACAAACGAAAGCAAACAAAACCAAAATGAAACAAAACTAAATGAAAGCCAGCAAAAGTGGATGCATCTGGACTAGGCAGGCACAAACAAAGAAGATCAAACAAAAACCAAATTTCCTAAGCTAAAATTCTAGGTTTCTTACCCTGTGAGTAGAGGAGGATCTGCATCTCTAGTAGGACACAAGTAAAAATCTGCACCAGATTTTCCACTCCCAACAACTGGAAGGCCTCACTCAGTGGGAAATCAGCCAACGGCAGCTCCCCGACACCAGGCCTCTGGCTCAGGATAGGTTCATACACTCCGTGGAACTTTAAAGAGCGTCCGGGCAGTGGCAAAGGTACTTCATAGAGGATGTTGTAGATGTAGCTTTCCAAAGGAAGTGGGGGCGGCTGATGGGAGATGACAGCACGGTGTACTTGGGAAAGGAAACCTTTACAGGCATGCATGAAGGGCATGGGCGTGATTAGACACATAGCTTTGGACACATACAGAGTGTCGCGAACAGAGTCGTAGCCTTCGCCAGAGCAGCCACAGCTCGTACGGCCCCCTTGTGAGGAGGAAGTTGAGGAGGGAGACTCAACTTCATCAAGGCTGCTGGCTAAAGAGTCCATACTAGAGGAGGATGAGGACGATGATGAAGGGCAGTTGTGGGCAGATTCATTATGCTCCGCTTGGTGCATCTGGTGTAGCGTCTGCATGGCAGAGCAGATCTGAGGGCTGGTCACCTCCTCGTAGAAGGTGTGAACGAAACCGTAAGTGCGAGATCCATCTTCTCTCGTGATGAGGAAAGAGTGGAACTGTGGGGTGTGACTGTCACGCTGTGTTCGGAATGACAGACCTTTGGGCATGCAGAGCTGTAGAGAAAGAAAGAGAAAATGACTTATTGCTTCAGTAACTACACATTTCTTAATGCTGCCTTCATTGTGCAATTTGATATATGCAGGGTGTCTACGGTTTACATTTCCTACAACAACATAAAATGAAGTGAACCATAGCACTCCACTGAGAAAAAAAACTATTCTGATGAACACAGGAAAAGTAACAAACAGTATTTATGTTTGTTTGCTGTGTATTGTTATATATGATCTCCAACATTAGCTCCAGCTATTAAATAAAATCAATCAATCTAAACTAAAATAAATACAAGTTTATGAGCTTATGAACTGGAGTAATTATTATTGTTATTATTATTATTATTACTACTACTATTATTATTTGAATTGAAGAGGTTTTTGGCACCAGAAGAAAGACAGCCAATCAAATTATATGCTCTGGATGATGGCTTTTCCTTTTACTCTACATTACTTTAATGAAAGTACAGTGAGAAATGGCACGTTATAAGTTGGCTGTTCAATGTTAAAAACATGCAGTTCATTCCTCAAGATTTTACACACATTTAGATGGGGGAAACATTTCAGTCACCCTCTATATCATGTGGCAGTATGATTTGAACTCCAAAGTCCATTTGACTTGACTACATTGATTTAAACTGGATGGCTTAATGATAAACCATTGATCTTTAACTGTTCTTTTGACATCTACTTAATAAACAGACACATGCAAAGAATCAAAGATGCACACACACACAACTGATATATGCAAAATATGTACAAGAGGAAGAGAGTATAGCCTATTTCAAACAGATTTACTAAACAGAAAGTGTCTGCATGCATGCAACTTGCATTTTTTCAAACTAGAGGTGAGCATTTCACTTTATTATTTACTACATAAAAGATTATAATTGCAAAATATTGTGTTGATAAATAGGTTTACAGTACATTTTCAGCACGTTTCCTAGACTACACAAGGCAAAAATTGGACGCTTTTGCACCTATGCTTCCGTTTCGCTCTTATTTACGCAGCACCGTGCTGCTTGCACATGCATTATGAGTTAACATGGTCACTGAAATAAAGTGTCATTCGTGCGCCGTCTGAAATAGTGGAGAACTGAAAAGACAGAGAAATGGAGGGGGAGAGAGAGAGAGAGAGAGAGAGAGAAAGGACAGAGAACAAAAGAGTGCAGGAATGGAAAGAAGATTAGCTAGAAGTGGAATTGAAAAAAATCTCTAGGGGAATTTTATCCAGGCCTTGGAGGATTGAGAACTAAAATGGCGTTCTGTGATTGCAAGCACTTCTAATGTGTGTGGGTGGATATTTTTATGTGCGAATCTCTGCAGATAAGAGACTGGCCTTAAAAATGACTCAACAGAAACGTCATAACGTTGTTTTTTCCGCCTCAAATTATGTGATAGCATCATGACTGGCAGCGCTGAACACTTCAGGTGTTCCTTTATAGAGCGAGAACACACACAATGAGCCGTTACCATGCCGACGTAAGCAGAGAGCCTGGGTTGAATAATTGATGCTGGTGTCACTACCACTAAGCATCCGTTTTCGTTTGCTGATGGAAAAAACTACCTTGCATCACGGGAACGATAGGTCAGAGGTTTTCGTTACATCTGCATGCTCTGGGACAATAAAACAAACCCTTCAGATGATCACTGCATGCAACCACAGAATGAGTGAGAGTCTACATGTACACATTATGGCACTCCAAATCAATGCAGATACAGATCTATCTTATGACTAATATGAGAAACAGTGAGACTATGTGTGGGAACCTTTATTTGTAACAGAAATCAAACAAGTTTAGATGTGTTGGATATGATAAATTTGGCATAAAATTTCACCCTAGTCATCAAGCTTCAGCATGCTCTGAAAGGCACATGTCCCAAACACACTTCAAACAAAACAAACAAAAAAATTAAACAAAACAAAAAGCACAACATCACAACAAAACAAACAAAAAACAAATGCATATATAATAAAATATATAATGAATAAACAATACAAAACTCAAAACTAAACAATAGAATAGAATGATACAAAAACAAAAAGAGTGAAAAAAAAACCTTTAAACAAAAGAATGAAACAAAACACAAAAGAATTATACAAAACAAGTGCAAAACAAATAGAATGATACAAAACATAAGAATGATATTAAAAAAAACAGTTTAAATCACTGCTGGAGGTAATAAATCAAAGGTGTAAACCAAACAGGTAAAAGTGTCACGTACTGAAGTCACTTACTGGTAAGTGTCACGTACTGAAGTCACTTACCATGTTAACAGCATCCTGGTCAAATGCGTTGCACTCGATGTTCTTTGGGTAGTGAGCAAGCACTTTGGATTTGAAGGTCCTTTTGAGGGGGCTCTGATCAAAGTTTTCTCCTGCAGAGAGGAAAGGAATAGGTATTAAGGACAGTAAACGCCTGGAAACATCTTTTAAAATATTCATAAGCTTTAAATTGCAAAAGCATCTATGCTATAAATGTGTCTGAATTCTTATTCATGGTCGTATATAAGAAGAGGTTTGTCATGTGTCTCAGTTACACTGCATTAAACTGATAAAGGTTTCATGGATTTGCCACTAAACTGTACCTCAAGGCCTTCTAAGAGGACGGTACGTTATGGAGGCATGCATGGGAACAAGTTGCAGAGGATTTCATTCCTTACATCTACTTAGTTGTGATGAAACTTTCTGTAAGATGTTTACTTAGTTGTATATTTCAACAGTTTCGGTTTATAAAAATCTGGCATATTGCTCACAATTTTCACGCACAATTTCACACCTTCCTTTGATAGCTTAATAACTTGTTAAAACAAACATTGCTGTGACATGATTCCTACAACTCTCTCAAGTATGTTGGACAGAATAATCCACTCATATTTACCATTTAAATGTGACCCAGATATGAAAGCTGTCTGCGAGGGGATAGTGTTGGTCTGAGCAGGATTCCTCACCCTCTAACCTCAACACTAACATACTCACACCCACATCTGGGTTTGTTCTCCATGATCAGCAGCATTCATTTTCCCCCTCATACACCCCAAAATAAGAATGTTATAACCGAGTCATGATAGATAGATAAATAAATAAATACATACATACATGCATGCATGCATGCATAAAAAGATCAAATAAAACCTTTCAGTAAATGTACAAAAACTGATGCTGAAAACAGTGTAGTATAATAATTGTTACTATAAATATTTTTCTAATATATACACACAATATCTTCAGGATATTTTTTTAGATTTAAAATGTATTTTAGTGAATCATAAGCAGGAAATTACATTAATAGTTTGTGGTTTTGCTTTAATAATATTGAATATTATTAATATTTAAGTATTATACTTTGGTTATCCACCTTATTTTTCAAGTTAGAACAGATGTGGCCATTTATAAAATGTAATGTGTCTGGCTTCCGGTGTCATTCGCTTCCAGTTATTTTTAGCTGTACAAAACAGCCCGTTATGCTGCTTGAAACTGCAAACTGGTATTTTTTTACAATATTATTTTAATGTATTATTTTAATCATAAACACACTGGTTTGTAGCACACAAAGTTTTTACTGTTTACTGCACTTTGATATTCTTATTATTTCCCTATAGCAGCTACTGAATGTATGTTTCGGATGTCTCATACATTCACAGAAAAAATACTTTGGTTATTGCTTTCAAGAGTTAGTTATTATCATTATTGTAACCTTTATATTTTACACCATTTTTGCACTGTGTACACCATTCATTTTCATTTACATTAATTTGCACATTTTTTGAAGAAGAACATTGGATATTCTACATTGTTACTCAATTAAAAGAAAAAAACAAACAAAAGAATGATTGATTGATTGTCAAAATAGTAAAACTGGGATTTTCACACTTCATTGACATGTTTGAACCTATATCTTTCATGTGAGCACAAAGGCCTAACGTGTGTGGAGCATGTGTGTTAATCACTACACTACAGCTATTTGTAATTTTTTTAAATATGTGACCCTGGACCACAAAGCCAGTCTTAAGTCGCTTGGGTATATTTTTAGCAATAGCCAAAAATAACTTTGTACAAGTCAAAATTATCGATTTTTCTTTGTTGCCAAAAATCATTAGGCTATTAAGTAAAGATCATGTTCCATGAAGATATTTTGGAAATTTCCTACTGTAAATATATCAAAACTTAATTTTTGATTAGTAATATGCATTGCTAAGAACTTCATTTGGACAACTTTAAAGGCGATTTGATCAATATTTTGATTTTTTTGCACCCTCAGATTCCAGATTTTCACATTTTAAAAGTTGTATCTCGGCCAAATATTGTCCTATCCTAACAAACCAAACCATACATCAATGGAAAGCTTTCATTTATTCAGCTTTCAGATGATGTATAAATCTCAATTTTAAAAAAATTGACCCTTATGACTAGTTTGGTGGTCCAGGTTCACATATATATATTTATTAAAAAATGAAAACGCAGCAATAACCACATTTTTTAGGGTAAATGTGAAAGTTCAAATCATGAAAGTCACGATTCATTTATTATGCTGGTTGGCACACAATGATGGGCTAAAAACAACAGAGAGGCATTGTGTTTTGTGTCGCTTTCTACCATCATGAATGCAACAGTTTCATGAGACACAATTGCTTTTCTGGCTCAGTGCATGTTAGCGTGTCTCAAACAGGCCGACACATGCAAACCGCAGTGTTAGATGAAAACAGCATAGCTTTGACAGCAAAACACAAGCTGGAACATAGATTGGAAATGTGCCATGAATGCCACAACAGTGCAGATTACAAGAGTAGACAGTATGTCATGCAGGATTTGGATCTGATGAAAGTTAAAAAGCAGATTTAAATCGAATGGATGTGAAGCAAACAAGATAGAGCGCGTGCAGTTAGCACGAAAAGATAAACAAGACAACTAACTGATGATATTGATGTTACAAGTACATTATTGAGATGAAAACAGCACTCAGTCACTCTGAATGAGGCAAGCTAATTAATAATATAGAGTCTAATTAACCATCTAGCGCATGTTTTGTCATCATGTATGAGTCACAGATATATATTTATTAAAAAATGAAAACGCAGCAATAACCAAATTTTTTAGGGTAAATGTGAAAGTTCAAATCATGAAAGTCACGATTCATTTATTATGCTGGTTGGCACACAATAGAGAGGCATTGTGTTTTGTGTCGCTTTCTACCATCATGAATGCAACAGTTTCATGAGACACAATTGCTTTTCTGGCTCAGTGCATGTTAGCGTGTCTCAAACAGGCCGACACATGCAAACCGCAGTGTTAGATGAAAACAGCATAGCTTTGACAGCAAAACACAAGCTGGAACATAGATTGGAAATGTGCCATGAATGCCACAACAGTGCAGATTACAAGAGTAGACAGTATGTCATGCAGGATTTGGATCTGATGAAAGTTAAAAAGCAGATTTAAATCGAATGGATGTGAAGCAAACAAGATAGAGCGCGTGCAGTTAGCACGAAAAGATAAACAAGACAACTAACTGATGATATTGATGTTACAAGTACATTATTGAGATGAAAACAGCACTCAGTCACTCTGAATGAGGCAAGGTAATTAATAATATAGAGTCTAATTAACCATCTAGCGCATGTTTTGTCATCATGTATGAAGATTTTTTTACAGCGTGCGTCTGTGCTGTGGGGTGAACTAGTGGTGATTTGGCAGGAGAGACTGTGTGACAGACAGGCCTGGGCATTAGCTAACAGGAAGGGACAGGGAGGAGGAGAAATCTACTAAAGCCCTTTATAACAGAGAGAGTCCGAGGCTGCAGGCATACATGTGAGAAAGACCCCATGAAGTGATAGCAGGAACAGCAAGAGAACAGCAGAAAAACAAGACGGGGAGGGAGTAAGAGACAGTGAGTGTTGCAAGAGAACAAAGCGATTTAAAATAACAAGCTGAGGCAAATGACCCACATTTAACTATGATGCAAATCGCAAACTGAGAGAGAACGATAGGAAAAGAGGGAGGAAGTAGTAAGGACTGAAAGCTAAATGAAAACAATGACCGTTTACACTTGGTATTCCGTCTTGCTTCGTTCTGATATGTAGCACCATTTAATCAATCCTTGATGGATATAATGAAGTCCCGTACATTTTTCCTAACTGAACAGCCCATTTCCCTCAGAAATACATCAAATTACAGAAACAAAATGGGCTGCAATTCACATTAATGTGTTCTTAATATGTCCAATCAAGTCAAGTGGTAGTCAAAACACATGACCACATTACATTTGTATATATTCTACAAAAGGTACATTTTAATCTAAATATTAAATATTAATCTCGGACAGCAAATGGTACACTAAAATGAGGGCTTTAAAATTGTTAGAAGCAGCTTCAAAACAAAATAACTACACAACCACAAAAAGTGCATACATTTATTTGTACAAAACTGCACAAACATCCAAATTCTGGACATTAAACGTATTTATTTTATTTACACATTTGACTGATAAATATGAAAATCACATTAAACATTCTATAACATTAAAATTCTATAGTATTAAAATATTAAACTCTTATATAATATATTTATTCTAGATTATTAAAAAATAATTCAATAATATAACAATATAATGTAATAATACAATTCTAAAATATTAAAATAAAAATACATGTCAAAACCTTCCAAAAAATCATTAAAACGATAAAAATTAAATAAAATCTAAATAATTTAAAACAAATTATTTATTTATACATTTAATCAATAACTATTACAATAAAATATTATTAAATTATCTATAAAATTCTAATTGAAATCTTCAAATAATTAAACTCATTTTAATTACAAGTGGATTTAAATCACAATATTAAATTGTACAGTATGAAATGTGGATATTGATGTTGAGATTTTGTGATTAGTTTAATATTTGGGAGAAGTGCTTGGTTGTTGGTGATTGTTTTCACTTTTTTGAGCTTTATCCATTAGGCAGTAATGCACTGATGCAGTAAGCAACCTATTTAGTTACAGAATCAGAGACCCTCCCCTCAAAGTCTATACAAGTAGACACGGGGGATACATTTGGGAAGCATATAAATACGAGGTTTAAACAGCAATCTCTCTTGCCTGACCGCTTGAGATCAAATCATTTGAGGTGGATCTTAATACCAGGTGTAACCAGGGTCAAAAAAAAACAAAGGAGGGGAAATAAAAATGGAGAAATTTAGGGAAGCTTAGCAGTGAGGGAGTTAATGATTACGTTTACCTGCTGCCACGGCTTCTGGGTCCCTGCCCTGACGATCGGCCTCTAGCCATTGGTACAAAGCTGAGATGGCAAACACACAAACAGACAAACAAAAAGCAAAAATGTCAAACCAAACACAGAAATGGAGAAGCATGACTGAATCCAAAGTGCAATGGCTTCGCAGACACAGACAGTGTGTGTGTTATTTTGCAGGCTGAGCGGTGATGGAGGTGAAGTGAGACATGTTTTACAGCCTCTGCTTTGGCGAGCAGCTTGACTGTAGGCCAAAATCTCTGCTGGGACGGAGACATTACGTTGTGCATGACCTGCAAGCGCTTGAAGAATATCTTATTGGTGGGTGGTAAAGGGGTCATATGATTTTCAAATCACATTATTTGGTGTATTTGGTGTAATGAAATGCAGCCCATTTCCCTCAGAAATACATCAAATTACAGAAACAAAATGGGCTGCAATTCACATTAATGTGTTCTTAATATGTCCAATCAAGTCAAGTGGTAGTCAAAACACATGACCACATTACATTTGTATATATTCTACAAAAGGTAAATTTTAATCTAAATATTAAATATTAATCTCGGACAGCAAATGGTACACTAAAATGAGGGCTTTAAAATTGTTAGAAGCAGCTTCAAAACAAAATAACTACACAACCACAAAAAGTGCATACATTTATTTGTACAAAACTGCACAAACATCCAAATTCTGGACATTAAACGTATTTATTTTATTTACACATTTGACTGATAAATATGAAAATCATATTAAACATTCTATAACATTAAAATTCTATAGTATTAAAATATTAAACTCTTATATAATATATTTATTCTAAATTATTAAAAAATAATTCAATAATATAACAATATAATGTAATAATACAATTCTAAAATATTAAAATAAAAATACATGTCAAAACCTTCCAAAAAATCATTAAAACGATAAAAATTAAATAAAATCTAAATAATTTAAAACAAATTATTTATTTATACATTTAATCAATAACTATTACAATAAAATATTATTAAATTATCTATAAAATTCTAATTGAAATCTTCAAATAATTAAACTCATTTTAATTACAAGTGGATTTAAATCACAATATTAAATTGTACAGTATGAAATGTGGATATTAAGATTTTTATAAAGCTCATCGGTCCGAAAACCGAAATGTGCTCTGATTGGCCAGCTAATCAATGCGTTGTGATTGGCTGAATACCTCAAGCGTGTGACGAAAACGATACGCCCCTTGCCATATTGTGATGCCTTGTCCCGGCCGGAGCGACAAGACAAAAACATTAAAACCCATTAGAAACGAGGCATTTGTTGCATCCAGTGGGGACATAATTACAGATTATAATGACTTATACTGTATTAAATTATCTATAAAATTCTAATTGAAATCTTCAAATAATTAAACTCATTTTAATTACAAGTGGATTTAAATCACAATATTAAATTGTACAGTATGAAATGTGGATATTGATGTTGAGATTTTGTGATTAGTTTAATATTTGGGAGAAGTGCTTGGTTGTTGGTGATTGTTTTCACTTTTTTGAGCTTTATCCATTAGGCAGTAATGCACTGATGCAGTAAGCAACCTATTTAGTTACAGAATCAGAGACCCTCCCCTCAAAGTCTATACAAGTAGACACAGGGGATACATTTGGGAAGCATATAAATATGAGGTTTAAACAGCAATCTCTCTTGCCTGACCGCTTGAGATCAAATCATTTGAGGTGGATCTTAATACCAGGTGTAACCAGGGTCAAAAAAAACAAAGGAGGGGAAATAAAAATGGAGAAATTTAGGGAAGCTTAGCAGTGAGGGAGTTAATGATTACGTTTACCTGCTGCCACGGCTTCTGGGTCCCTGCCCTGACGATCCGCCTCTCGCCATTGGTACAAAGCTGAGATGGCAAACACACAAACAGACAAACAAAAAGCAAAAATGTCAAACCAAACACAGAAATGGAGAAGCATGACTGAATCCAAAGTGCAATGGCTTCGCAGACACAGACAGTGTGTGTGTTATTTTGCAGGCTGAGCGGTGATGGAGGTGAAGTGAGACATGTTTTACAGCCTCTGCTTTGGCGAGCAGCTTGACTGTAGGCCACAATCTCTGCTGGGACGGAGACATCACGTTGTGCATGACCTGCAAGCGCTTGAAGAATATCTTATTGGTGGGTGGTAAAGGGGTCATATGATTTTCAAATCACATTATTTGGTGTATTTGGTGTAATGAAATG